GACATTTAAATGCCCTGCAAGCTCAAAGGTGATCATATACTATGGAAAGCGTGATCTTATAAGAGATCAGTAATATCTGGACTACGTCACTTTCCAGTATCTACTCATTGACTGAAGCTTTCAAGACTGTTAGTAGTTAGCAATTAACACAGGCAAGAACCAAGAAGACAGCAAGTTCCTCTCTCTGCTTCATGATCTCTTATCACAGTGACTACTCGTTTTTGAAAAACAGCTACATATCAGGCCAGAAGGAAGTGCGCACAAACATTATTTCATCTTAACTCCCACAATAAACTTTTGAAATTATACTATTATCCTAATTAATGGATGAGAAAACTGAGGCTCAAAGAAAGAAAAGAACCCCGCTATCACACAGTAAATTAATGAGTATATCAAAATTCAAACCCAGGTTAAGTCTGATTCCATTTGCATCTATCTCTCTCTGTAACATTTGTCCTTAATGATTTTGTTATGCTAATCACCAGGTGCTTTTCTCCTTGCCAGTTCTTTTCTGAAGGAAAATGCCTCCAAAGACAGGTGACCTAAGATAAAAAGAAGCAAGATACTTGAACAGGTAATTCGCAAAAGAAGATGGCCAAATGGCCAGGCGTGATGACTCATGCATGTAACCCTAGCACCTTGAGAGGCCAAGGTGGACAGATTCCAAGGTCAGGAGTTCAACACTAGCCTAGTCCATATGATGAAATCCCATCTCTACTAAAAATACAAAAATTAGCCAGGAGTGGTGATGGGCGCCTCTAGTCCCAGCTACTCAGGAGGCTGAGGCAGGAGAATTGCTTGAAACTAGGAGGTGGAGGTTGCAGTGAGCTGAGATTGTGCCATTACACTCCATCCTGGGTGACACAGCGAGATTCGGTCTAAAAAAAAAAAAAAAAGAAAAGAAAAAAAAAGAAGATGGCTAAATGGTCAATAAATATATGAAAAGGTGCTTGACTTCATCAGTTATCAGGGAAATGCGCAGCAAAGCCATCATTGGATACTTCGACATACTCACCAGACAAGCTAAAATGCAAATGACAATACCAGGTGCAGGCGAGGCACACAGGTGGGAGTGAACATTGATCCGATGTTTCAGAAAGCTGTTGACCAGCTTCTACTTAAGCACAATGTATGTACACTGTACCCTATGACTTGGCAATTTCATTCCTTGATTTGCATCCAACAGAAATGCATTCATAAATGTTCACAATATGGCATTTCCCAACTGTTTATAACAGTACTATTTATGATCGTCCCAAACTGGAAACTACCCAAATGCCCATCAACAGTAGAATGGATCACTAAGTCATAGCAAAGCCACACAATGGAATATTATAAAGCCATAAGCACAAGAAACTACTACCTCACCCATGTGTAGCCACATGGATTAATAGCATGAATACAGGCTGGGCACGATGGCTCACACCTGTAATCCCAGCACTTTGGGAGGCTGAGGTGGGTGGATCACGAGGTCAGGAGATAGAGACCATCCTGGCTAACACGTTGAAACCGGGCATGGTGACATGTACCTCTAGTCCCAGCTACTCAGGAGGCTGAGGCAGGAGACTCATTTGAACCCAGGAGGCGGAGGTTGCAGTGAGCTGAGATCATGCCACTGCACTCCAGCCTGGGCAATGGAGGGAGACTCTCTCTCAAAAATAAATAAAATAAAATATCACGAATACAACGATGAGTAACACAAGCTGAATGGGGGAAGAGTACATGCTATTTGAGTTCATTTGAATACAATTCAGAAACAGGAAAAAACAACCCACGATGTTAGAAGTCAGATTCGTGGGTACCCTGGGGGAGGCAGGGGGCAGCTGGAATTGGAAGGGAGGAGAAGGGAGCTCACAATGCCTGGCTTCTCGATTTGAGTGTTGGTCACACAGGCCTGTTCGCTTTGAGAACAGTCTTCAAGCTCAACACTTGTAACTCCTGCACCCACTTTTGTTATGTATGTTATACTTCAACAATTATGTATTTTAAAATAGCCAAAAGGGTATTGGATTGTTTGTAACTCAAAGGATAAATGTTTAAGGGGATGGATACCCAATTTTCCATGATGGAATTATTACGCATTGCATACTAGCATTCAAACATCTCACGCACCCCGTAAATATATACACCTATTATGTGCTCAAAAAATTAAAACATTTTTTAAAAAGCTTACCAAGAAGAGTTAGTATCTCTGCTCCGCAAAGCATGCAAATGTCAATACTTCAGAAGTGTTTCACAGAAATGCACACCGAGCTTACCATGTTTATAAGTCCTTTTAAATTTAAGAGTATTTATTCAGCTCACAGATTTTCATGTCCTTAATGAAATAGCAAGACAGTTTAGGTAAACACAGGAAGTACTTCTGAGCTGTAAAGCTGGGTTCTAAAAGAATGATGGTTAGGAGTAAACAAAAGAATGAAGACTAGATATTGAACCTCAATAATTATGTCAAGAATAAAAGGCTTCTGCATTGAGTCTTGAAGAGCAAGAGAAGGGTACAGCCTACAGCCTCCTTCTGGGAGCCCGCTGCTCAGAGAGGTTTTGAATCTGAAGGTAACGTTAAACAAGTGAGGGGAGGGAACCTAAGAAAAGCAACAGCTTAGAAAGGTAAAAACCTAGAAATAAAGAACTGTGGCATATGCATATAACTTTCTTTGAAACCCACAAAACTTTCCTATTCTTTCTGAGAGACAATGTTTGAGTAGGAGGAATTCTTAAGAAAGCTGTCATACTAAAAGAAAAAAGGTATAAGAACTAGTGAAAGATTAAGATGCATGCACACATAGATGCATATTTATCAACTGATTTGCATTATATCAAAAATATATTCTGTACAGAATTATACCAAACAGATGCAGACATACACGTATGTATATACATATTGGAATTTAGTTTCAGTATTATCTCAACTGTCATTCCTTGAAATTGACAACAGATTTTGAGAAGGGACACCAGGACAGCCCAACCAGTGTGACAAGGTCCTAATCACTAGCAACACACAGGGGTCTGGCTGCCCTTTGAATTCAACGAGCAGCCTCAAGACTCATCTGCTTTGTGGACAAATCAAAAGTCTCTGTCACAGACAGATGCACCGTGGGTTCTCTTCCTCCAAGGAAAAAAACTGGTTTCGGATTTAGTGTATCTTCCACTCTGGGTTGGCCATGTATAAAGAAAGCTGTAATCCATAAGGTATCAAAGAAGAGAGGTTAAAACAGCAGCAGGTGGCTTAGGGGCCAGGCTTCCTAAGAGAGAAACACTCTAAAGGAAAGAAAAATTCATTTCTAGTGACCAAGGGTATGCATTTCTTTTATCTTTAAAAGACATTTGTGCTATATATTTTCTGGTACTTTATCCAAAACACAGGGTAAAAATGTTGGAGAATAAGCAGATGAACCAAGTCTCTGTATCTTTCAGTCAAGACTTCAAAAATCCAGATTTCTCTGCCTCTTCTACTTATTTACATGTTTGATGTAAGGAAAAGAACTAAAATAAGTAAGGGAAAAATTTGTTGCTTTGTTGGAGGCCTTATTTCAGAATTTCTGTATTCAGTAGGCACACATAACCACGAGTTTCTTCTAATTCATCATACAAGAATAAACAGAGACACATAAAGCTAAGTAATTCTCACTCTTCATTATTCTAGAAGCTACGGTTTTTTAAATTGAAATGATTTTTGTTTTTAACTTAAGGTTTTCTTTAAGTGGCTAATCTTATACTCTAAAAAGTTTATAACACTTATTCCCAAATCTTATTTAAAAAGCAATTAGTTTTTTGATTGGATAAAAACCATCTATCCCTGCAGACGCTGGCTTTGGAAATCTTGGCTGGTTACCTCACTATTCCATTGATTTCTGATATGTCAACTGTTGCATTCAAAAGACAAATGGCACCAAATATGCAACAATGACAAAAACCTTTAAATGATAAGGGTTTTTCATGCTTTTATTTAATCAAATTGAATAAGATCTGACCGTATAGTTATCCCTTCCCGACCCTCCCACTCCACCCCCTCACTGTTTCCAACTTTATTACTGATCTCATATTAGATTTTGACCTTGTCCTGAAAGTGTCACGTATATCTCCTTTTGTGGCCCATTTTCCAAGGTCATGGGTTTCTTTACCTTCAATATTTGAAGTATCGATTAGCTTGCTTTGTCAATGTTCTATTTGTTTTGCAGCCAGGAATGTCAAACCAGTGTTAAGCAATTCAGCACTGCAGTTTGCCCAGCCTGCATAAACCTCCTGCTCCCTTTCACATCCCTCCCTGAAAACAGAGTGGCTGCACGCAAAAGGGGTAGGAAATCAAGCCAGCGCTTGCTCGGAGCTGCTCGGCGAGTGTACGGCACAGCATATTTCAATTAGCATCCAATCACGTTAAGTAGTGATACTTCAATATTTGTGTGAGCCTGCCTTGTAGAATTTAATACTCAGACAGCCATTTTGCAAAACACAGCAGGGCCGGGAAAGAAGGGCTATTTCAGTGAAAGAGTCATAGGATGATAAAGCTGTTGCAACAGCTGTGTCATCCATCCAGTGATTATTATCTACTATTTTTCTGAAGCGGCTCAAAATAGGATTCCATGTTAGCCTCTGTGCCTATCTATAATTTGTCAAACTCCATAGTATTTCTCCCCCCCCCCCACCATGCCATCATTCAAATATGAAAACAGGACTACTCTAGGTGACAGAGAATATCAACTGGTTTGAATGAGACAAATCTCTGAGACAATGGTCTTCTCAAACCCATCCCTGTGCAAGTGATTTCCAACCTTATCAAAGTCACAAGGCACAAAAGATAGATAAAAACATCTCTGGGTGGAGGAAAATATCTCAGAATCTCCTATACCTCAGATTCCTTGAAAACTCCGGGTACAAAATGATCAACTGTCTGGTTGGTTCAGCACAGGGATTAAAAACAGCCGAAAGAGGCAACATGCACCAGACAGACACGAATAGTATTTTCAGCTCCCAGCTGCAATTCTACAGCAATAGAAACTTACATAGGACACCCGTACTCGCCGGCGATGCACCAGCCCGCAGCACTGCATGAAGAGGGGGCAGAACGCAGTCAGCGTGTGGCTTCACCAAGCTGCACTGTGCCTTGTCTTCCCGTCACAGCCTCGGTCCATTTCTTCCCACCTTCTACTCCCAGGTAAGAGGCATGAGCAAATCACTTAGCTTCTGCCTCCTAGGTAGTTTCTAAAAAAGCCACCGTTCCTGCAGGCATGCCAAAACTTTGTTCTCCCCTGTTTGTCTTTTTTTTTTTTTTTTTGGGAGGGGGGCGTAATTTGAGATCTTCTTCAAGGGGGTTTCCTATTTGCAGAAATCTACAAGAAGTAGCATTAATTTTCCAGAAGTAAGTATTGCTAACACAGAGTTAGGACTGTCCAGATCATCAGAGTTTCTTGGTGACGCTTTTACAGTAGCCATTCTCAACTCGGGAGATGTTCAAACATTTGAGAATCTTGCATTTCATGACCCTGCAGTATTCTGCTTTTAAAAAGGAGGAGGCCTATTCCTGCTGCTGTTTATGTGACTGCTTCTTAGAACGCTGCTGCTCCTGCTCCCGCGGCTGCTCGGCTATGATTGCCTTCTTCACAATGCACAGGCTGACAGCAGCATCCTGGATTCACTGTTACCTCTGTAATGTTTTGGGCATATCTGATTTGCTACTTCTCCCTCCTCCCCTGACCCTGAAAAATGACTGAGTCTAGACTCTAATTCACTGTGGATTCCTAGGACTACAGAAGCATCCTCCACACGGTCAGATGCTTTGTCCTGCAGTAGGTATTTCACATGAATTGTAAGGAGGATCGCCGGAGTGGCCTCAGGACCTGACTCGCTCAAGCACTGCGGCGCACAGTTGTTTGGTGCTCACCGGCAAATATTCATTTTCTGGGTTAAAGCACGTTAAATAAACATAACTGTGGAAGGCGAATTTGATCAGACTCAGACCTCATTAATTCATTAGATCACATACCACCTACGATTTAGATACAATGAACAACATAACGCTGCCTTCCAAGTGTGAAAGCTCCCAAGTCAATACTCTTTGTAAGCTATTATTTAGATCTTTCCCTAAAGACCCAGTTTTCAGGGACTGAGCTGATCCTAATATTCTCCCTCAAGACCTTGTACATGTCACACCGAAAGAGATGCATCATTAAGACATGTGGAGATTCAGCTGTTCATTTGTATGATATCAGCCATTGTAATATGCAATGACTCATAAAATGCTTCAGTGTGTCATAGCTATTGATCCAAATGTGCCCCCATGTCCAAGTCATTCCGTATTCTATGGGGACCTAAGAAGATATGTTAATGATGTCATATCACAGATTAACCAACACTCTGTTCTTTAGGTCCCTGGAAAAATAAAAGACAATTAATTCTCAACACTTTTTCAGTATTTTCTTAAGGCTATTTATTTATTTTTAGAGATAGGGTCTCATTCTATCGCCCAAGCTGAAGTACACTGGTGCAGTCCTGGTTCACTGCAGCCTTGAACTCTTGGGCTCAAGCAATCCTCCCACTTCAGCCTCCCAAGTAGGTAGGGTTGTAGGTTCATGCCACCACACCTGGCTAATTTTTTTATCTCTTTTTGAGACAGAGTCTCACTCTGTCATGCAGGCTGGAGTGCAGTGGCACGATCTCAGCCCACTGCCACCTCTGCCTCCCAGGTTCAAGCAATTTTCATGCCTCAGCCTCCTGAGTCGCTGGGACTGCAGGTGTACACCACCACCTCCGGCTACTTTTTGTAGTTTTTAAAAAAAAATTTTTAATTTTTTAGTACAGATGGAGTTTCGCCATGTTGGCTAGGCGGGTCTTGAACTCTCAGACTCAAGTGATCTGCCCACCTCAGCCTCCCAAAGTGCTGAGATTATGGGTGTGAGCCACCATGCCCAGCCTAATTTAAAAAAAATTTTTTAGAGACAGAGGTCTTACTCTGTTGCCCAGGCTGGTCTCAAACTCCTGGCTTCTGGCCATTCTCCTGCCCCAGCCTCCCAAAATGCTAGGATTACAAGTGTGAACCACCATGCCTGGCCTTAAAATCTGTGATTTAAACCAACAATTTTATATTATTATTAATAGTCTAAGAGGTTGGTAAAGGTGAAAAAAATTTCTGCCTTAGCTTAATATCCTTATTTGACTGATAAACTGGGACCCCACATGATTCCATGTTTTCTTTATCAGTAATGTAAGCAAGAGCATAATTTAAATGCTGCAACTTATACAATCTACACAGTCTGTGAAAATGTGGTCTTACCATATATTAATTAATCCTTTGTGGATTTGAAGGTCCAAAGGAAGATATCAGATAATCTATAGACAGACAATAAGGACACCTTAGTGATTACATCAGAAACCTAGGGTAAAACAAAATTTCTGAATTACACTGCAAATTGGCTCTTAAAAGTAAATCCTGGGGGAAAAAAAAAGCCTTCACCATTTTCCAAGGCATGCAAGATGTATTCCCAGTAGGATAGGACTTCAATTTGATTTTTTAAAGAACTTGAGTGAGAAGAACAGTAAGTAATATGAAAGAACACATCATTCAAATTCAAGCTTTTTTCTTAAGGCCTCTTTATCCCTTCTGTCATCACACATTTACTAGAATAACTGAATAAAGAATAAAAATTACCTTAAAGTTAGAATAAGATGAAAACACTGGGGAAACACTCTATCTCTTCGAGGATTCTGAATTCGATTTGGAATTCACTTAACTTTTTATTAACTAGGATATTTTTATACACAATATAAGAGAGATTCCCCCATTCATTAAAGATTCCACCCACCTTGTCATTCAAGAATCCACAAAAGGATGCCAAGCACTAACTAATTTGATTCAGCAAACATTTATGGAGCACCTTCTGTTTGCTCAGTCCTGTGAAAAGGTGCTGGGGGATATGAAGTGAATGAAATGCAATCCATGTATTCCTCAAGACACTTATAACAACAGAGGAGGCTGGACATGGTGACTCATGCCTATAATCCCAGCACTTTGGGAGGCCCAGGTAGGCAGATCACCTGAGGTCAGGAGTTCAAGACCAGCCTGACCAACATGGTGAAACCCTGTCTCTACTAAAAATACAAAAATTAGCTGAGTGTGGTGGCACATGCCTGTAATCCCAGCTACTTGAGAGGGCGAGGAAGGAGAATCGCTTGAATCTGAGAGGCAGAGGTTACAGTGAGCGAAGATCACACCACTGCACTCCAGCCTGGGTGACAGAGGGAGACTCCATCTCAAAAAAACAGAGAGAAGGGAACACAGTTTAAGTGCAATGGGAACACCAAGAAAACAACTCCTAACTATCCCTGGAAGGAACAAGGGAGGCTTCACAAAGATGAGGACACTTGGCCTAGCCTTTGCAGAATGGACAGAACTACATCCAATGTTAAGTAGAGGGAGAAAGAATCCCAGGCAATGGGCAGAAAATGCAAAAGCACAGAAGGTTACATACAGAATATACACAGAACCAATTGTGTTTACATAGACTGTATATGAAGAATCGTATCTTCAGACAACAGGGATCCACCCAAAGTCCTCATTCTAAACTCAGTTCTCCCCTAGATTCAGTCTCTACTTATCTCTCTATCCCTAGCACTTGGCACAGTATCGAAACATAGTAGGTATGACAGAGATTCATAGTTGGCCCCCTTTATCCATTCTTTACTTCATTTACAGTAACAGAAATGGACATTGGCTGCTGGGCTAAGACGAATGTCCCAGCTTTTCTTGCAACTTGGATGGCCACGAGCCTAGATTGATTCTGGTCAATGGGGATATACAGAAATGCCATGTGCCAATACTCAAGTCACGTACCACTCCTGAGAGCTGGGACAGCCTTTCATAATGAGAAGAAAGCTGCACATTCAGCAGAGGAGAGTGACAAGACAGACCCAAGTCCCTAGGACTGGGGCACTGCCATACTGGCCCAATAGTGATTATATTTAGACTGCATCAAGAAAGAGACATTAACTCCGACGTTGGCACTTTTACTCTGATTTCAATGATAGATGCTAAACTTGTATTATTATTAATATTTGACACAGGGTCTCACTCTGTCACCCTGGCTGGAGTGCAGTGGTGCAGCCTCAGCTCTCTGTAGCCTCAACTTTCTAGGCTCAGGTGATTCTACCCCCTCAGCCTCCCAAGTAGTTGGGATTACAGGCGTGTGCCAACATGCGCAGCTAATTTTTGTACTTTTTGTAGAGACAGGGTTTTGCCGTGTTGCCCAGGCTGGTCTTAAACTCTTGAGTTCATGCATCTCACCCACCTTGGCCTCTCAAAGTGCTGGGACTAGAAGTATGAGCCACCATACCTGGCCTAAAAGTGTGTTTTAAAAGCACCTCCAAGTGTTTCTGGAATGAATGATGAATTCACAAATCCAAGTGTGTGGAGGAGGCAGGAGAGTGGGAGAGGGGGAAAAGAAAAGGCAAGAGTGGAATGGAGAATCAGGAACCCAGGCTGGGACTACCCTGAACAACACAGCAAAGAGTTTAGAGTTGAACTGGTGGTATGTACAGAATGACTGAAACTTTTAAATGTGAAAATAGCTGTTGTTTTATTAAAAAGTAGGAAAAAATATCCAGACTGTTGAGTCTATAAAAACCTGGTCGGGACCAGGTGTGGTGGCTCATGCCCGTAATCCCAGCACTTCAGGAGGCAGAGGCAGCCGGGTCATGAGATCAGGAGATTGAGACCATCCTGGCCAACACGGCAAAACCCCATCTCTATTAAAATACAAAAAATTAGCCGGGCGTGGTGATGTGCACCTGTAGTTCCAGCTACACTGGAGGCTGAGGCAGGGGAATCGCTTTAACCCAGGAGGCGGAGACTGCAGTGGGCTGAGGTCGCTTCACTGCACTTAATAGTTCAACGTCAGCAAGAAATTGGAAGCTTTTGAGCTTGTATACTTGTCTGTGATAGCTGTTCCTTTACTAAGTAATCGAATCAAATAAAGTCAATAAAAACTAGCTGCTTGGCTCATGTAGCTAAATTACAAACCTAATGAATTGCTAAATTAGCTATTTTGTTATAATATGAGCTATCTTAAGAGAAAAATATTGAAAAGCGACAAGGAGAGGCACAATGACAAAATCAACAGATTAAAAGTAATCAAAGAGAAATGTAGATCATTTCTATGCCATATATGCATATATGTTTTAATCCAACGGATTTATCTCTGGTCAGTCTTTAGAAACTATGAAGATTCGTGTTTCTTTACTACTCACTTTCTATGTGACTATTAGTCAGGAGTGGCAAGAACACAGTCAAAGTTAAACATCAGATGAAGTGCTTCCTCCAAGAAGAGAACTCTTTGATAGTAAAAAATGGAAGATCTAAAGAAGCCTTCTGTAGCGGAACTAAAATTGTCTTGTCAGAGTTGACTCTGCTTACATGCTTCTGGCTCTTCTGTGGCTGTGATTTTAGGAAGGAAGGGTCCCTCCTACGACAGACACTTGCTCATATACTCATTCGACTCTCCCTTCACAGTAAGCGATGAAGAGCCTAGTGTCCTTAAGTTGACCAAAAACTCTTCTGCTAGTTTCAGCAAAAACAAAAAAAAGGTCCAACCGTCTCTATTCATCCATTCATTCCACAGTATCAACTGACTGCCGCTCATCAAGAGCACGTCTCTGCTGGGCACCAGTAGGAAAATAACAATTAAAACAACTAAGGTCCTTGCCTTGCAGGAGCTTAAAATCCACGGGGCAAGGCAATTTGAATCAAATAATCACATAAGCATATAATTACAAGCTAGTAAGATGTTTGCATGAAAGTATAGAATACTATGAAAATGTAGAGCAGGCTGACATCTTTGAGAATTAGAAGAGTCAGAAAAGGTGTCTCTGGGGCACTGCTACCTGAGCTGAGGT